GAAAAAACAAAAACACAATCCTTTTTTTATAATTTTTTTTTTTTCTACGCATTAATTTAAAAGTATTTTTTGTCAAAAAAAAAAAGAATATGAGAAATGTAATAACGATTTATTCGAGTGTTCCTCGCATTTCTCGCCTCCTTCCGCCCACTTCCCCCACGTTAGCTGCATAATTATGTAAAACTGTAAATTTTTTTTATATATATACACATAACTGTGACGACTGTAAGCCCCGAGATCCCCAAGGAGTCGCAAATCAATAGGTTTAGCCTAGCCTACGGATTATGTAAAGCGGAAGCAACAAACAAACAACATAAAAAGAAACACAAAAAACACAGACAAATGTTATATGTATAAGCGTGTAATAGTCCGATTTTACTGTAACATTCAAATTTTATATTTCGAAAACTCAAAATATCAAATGTGAATGTGCAGTGAATCCGAACTATATAAAAGAGATATAGAGAAGAGCACAGGGAGCTGCGGGTCGTGCGGAGAATATAGGTCGATGAGAATGCAAATGGCAAGAGATAAACCACAAAATCACAAGAAAACCACTAAAAAAAAAAAGCACAGGCAACACCATCAGCCAGGCTTTATAAAAGGATTCTTCGATTTTACGAAGGATTTTCTAATTTATTTAAAAATAAAATAAAAAAAAATTGAAAAAAGAAAATAAACTGACTTGTATTTTGGATGATATTACAGCTGCAGAGGAAAAAAGTGGATTTTGAAATTAAAGGAATCTTATAAAATTCAAAGATTTGTATAATCCCCGATTGGGGATCAACTCTTCTTGATAGCTTTATAAATGTTTCCCAAAAATACAAACATTTTATCGGTTTTTCTTTCATCTTTATTGTTTTCTCTCCATTCGCTGGCATCGAAAATCATCATCATTTCCTTGCGCATCATCATCATATTAACCTTATTTTCTGTTTTTGCTATATAATTCCTGCGATAACGGTATTATCTTCTCACGCCAACGGCTTTCTCATTATTTGTTTTGTTTTAATCTTAATTATTCTTAAATACATTAAAAAAATACATAAAATATTTTGTTGGTTTCTGTTTTTTTTTTTTGGTTTTCATTTTCTTGTGTTGTTTTTAAATATCAGTTCTGTTCCCGTTTTCGAATTTGTTTTTGAATTCAATGATATCGGAAAAGTAGAAATCTTTCAAACGCTTGAGAACTTTTAAATTTCTTGGTTCTATTGGTGAGTTAAAAAATATTCGAAATTTTCAGGTTTCTTTGAATTGAAATTGAATTCGAATTTGGGAACAGGTCTGGATGTGTATGTGTGTGTGTGTGTGTACATATATAAATAAGCTAACGGTATATTGTTTATATGTTAAATGTATATGTAGTTTTATATAAGTATATGCACTCTCAGATTTCGAAAAAAGGGAACACCGAAAATCTCAAATTCGGCTCACGTTCAGTTTTGGTTTTTGCTGTTGTTCTTGTTCTTTTCTTTCTTTCTTTTTTTTGATGTAAGTTATCTGTTTTCAGCTTTCTATATTTCCAAGTTTCAAGTAGTTACGCTTTGAAGAAGAAGCAAATAGGCTGGGAAACGGTTTTGGGAGGTTTTTTATTTAGAGGAATAGAAATGAGGGAACAAAGGTGGGAATCCGGCCACTTGACTAAATATTTTTTTAAAAACTATCACTAAATCGGTTTAGCCCCTTTCATTTCACTTAATAAATAAAATGCAAAGAATATATTTTAGTTGAAGACAATTGTTCAGTGTGACCAGAGCTTTAGTGCAATTTGCAGAATTAAAAATTATTCACGAACACTTTTACCTAAAATACAAAATACAATTATTTTACGAACAGCTAATTCTATACAAATATATTGAATAGAAGTTTATAATGTTCTATATTGTATTTGAAATATTTTTAGTTTTAAATTAAGTAATTAAAACACCAAATGTTTATACAATAATTTACTGATTAAAAAGGCGACATTTCAATGGAAGAATGATGACATTTCTTTTTCGTTATATGATGATTTTGTTTTACCTTTTTGCCTAAAGCTCTGGCCACACTGCACCTGATCCTATTTTCCTTCTTTTTTCGAACAGGAGCTTTTTGTGTTAGTATGTGTGTGTGTATGTATGTATCTGTATGTGTTTCAATGGCTATTCTGCATTTTGGATCCAGCGTTGAAGATTTTGATGTTGGTCCTTCCTGTCTATCTGGGGTATTTCTTTCATTTTGTCGTAAACATATTCTCGCTCGCATCTGCAAATTGTTTTCTTCAGTGTGGCCCGGCCTGTATGTGTATTATGTGAGTGTGGTTGTGTTAAAGTGTGTATCGGCTGCTGGACTGCTTGGCTGCACTGCTTGCGCTTATAGGCGCTTTGGAACCGTATCGGCATTATTCTCAGGCTCTTCGTCCTTGGGCGGCTGACCACGTTGCTGCACGGATCAGCGAATAACCATTATCAAATCGGATCAGATCATTACCGGATTGTTAAAAAAAACAAAATAATAATAATAATCATAACACACACACACAAGACGAAAAAATGGAAGAGAGGAGAAAGTAGAAAAAGAAAGCGGAAGAGAAAGAAGAAACACACACATCAATATCAATTAAATCAATTGTAGGAATAAATTGGTGTAAATACGACCGTATTTCCAATTTGCCAGAATCAAAATTTATGCAATTACAAATTTCTTAGATGAAAAAATAGACATTTTTTACTTTGGCTTTCTTTTTGAGAATATTTCTTTATATTTATCCTTAACTTTAAAAACTCGTACAATTACCTATTCTATTCTATAAGTCTAACGCTAATTTATCAAACAAAAATATTTTAAATATATTTTTTATTAGGCTTACAATATTATTGAAATTGCATAAATAATCACTCAGTCAAATTATGAAATTGGAAAACGGAAAATTGAAAGACGATTATAATGATATGGAATGGCTGCAGGATGTTGATCTGAACCGTGAATGTCTATACCAAATGATATGGCTGAGCCAATGGGAAAGTTCCCATGCTAAATCCTGGTGTAACAGAGCTGTGATATGAATGTCCTTTTAAATCTTCAGATTCTTAATTATCTTCATTATGTGTGTGTGTGTGTGTGTCTCTGCGTCTCTGTGTGAGTTTTATTTAATTCGCTAATTTTGTAGTTTTAGTGTTTATGGATCTTTCGGAATTTCTAGAGATTTACAGATTTGCATTTTTCCATATTTTTTAAGAATATCGAAAGTTATTCTCCATATTTCTATTTCAAATAGAAACTCTACCTAAATCTCTAGAGTTTTCACGAAGACAAACCCCCTAGTGTTATTTTAAAGGTAGTGCCAGTGAAAATCGAGGATTATTGTGATGTCCATGAAATGGAAAAGCAAGCAGTGCCAAACTTAGTGTACAATTGGTTTTGGTGTATTTTATGGCGAATGAAAGTGCATTTGTTTCGGGCCCATTTAAGATATTAATAAAAAATAAATCAAATAATGTTAAGTTTTAGCATATTTATTTGTTGATTGTTTATTACTGTATTTAGTTTTCACATTCGCATTCGGCTCGTCAGCTAAGCAGGGGAAAATAAAATAAATTAGGCCAAGCGGATGCTGCAGCAGTCAGCTTTTGTGACCGCCATAGTGGACCGTTATAGCGGATCGTCGTTGTGGGTTAAAGCAGGATGATGATAAATTGATAATTATTTGCAATAGAACTTCTCTAACTCAAATTTTATATAATTAACCAAACTAAACATGAACTTTTATCTATAAAAAAGTTTCTAAAAATATAATTGTTAACAAAAACTGATAAATTAATTGAAAAACTAGATTGAAAAATATATTTTCATTTATAGTAGATGGTATACAAAAAAATATTTGAACATTATTTCTGTTTTGTGCGTGTTAAAGAAGTTCGTCTGTGGAAAATGAAACAACGACGATCACTCGGCCTCGGCCTCGGGATCAGGGCGACTCAGGATCTCCTGACAGAGTGCAATGTAGTCCTTGAGTGGGTGCATAAAGCATAAGCATATAGAAAAGTAAAATCAAATTAAAAATATATACACGCAAATGCCCGGGACTGTGGGGCACACGGAACATGTAACACACAGCGGTGACACATATATATCGTGCGTTCGCTATCGGGTATCTTATCAGAAACGAAAAACGCAAGTCACTCACATGATATCGTACAGGTACAGTCAATATAATAGAATTTCTTTAGATATAAAATAAATATACCGCAAAAAGTTAACTCAAAAGATTATAAGTTAATAATTTATTCTATCTAATTTAATAATATTGTTTAATATTTCTTTTCTTATTATTTTGACTGCAGCTGTAAGTGAGACATTTAATGGGGGAAATACTCTGATTAGGAGTTGCGAAATGATAGACTGCGTTTTGTATTAAATATCAGTTTCGTTTTTATTTTAGTTATTGTTATTATTACTTTTGTTCTCCATTTATTTTCATTTCTCGTTTCGTTTTATTTTCTCAATTAATTAATTGTAAACAGTTTTCTGCACACTCTCAGATTAACTTATCAACGGTCCACGGCCTTTCTATCTCGATCTCTATATAGATTTCCATATATATATATATATATTTATACTTTATTTCTAAATTTTTTCTTAAAAAACGTTCTTCACTTCTCGTTTTATTGTTTGTGTGTTTTGTTTTGCGTTCACTTAATTACGCAAATATATATATTGATCTTAACAACATAAAAAAAAACAAATTGATTTAATTCGTTTTGGCAGAAGAAATGCAATTCTACATTATTACAATTGGGGGAAATGATCTTGCAACTACTACATACAATATATGTCATTTAGAATTAAGGAATTATATAAAAAAAAAAAATATATAGAAACAACAAGGGTTTGGGGGTAAGAATTCAGAAGAATTGATAATGGAAACGATTCTGAATTTGGACCCTTAAAAAACTAAACTATACCGATTTAATGCCACTACAACTGGAACAAAGCCAAAGCTATATATGTGTATGTTAATTCATTATCTTTTTTTTTTTTTTAACTTTACTGAACACACACAATCTGCAATGAATTTGAAATGCTGACTTCTCTTTTCGATTTATTCATTATTCGTTTTTCTATGCGTTTTTTTGATTGATTGTTGAACACTGCCACAAGTTTTTGTTTCTTTTTTTTTATTGCTTCTGGGAACGATAAGGCAACACTTGCCTTTACGTTGGTTGTTACGTTGTATTACAGTGTGTGCACAACATCATGGAAAAAGGATGCAGCGCTCGGTCCTTTTTCCATATCTTTTCCTGCTTGTCCGTGCATGCTCATGAGTGTTTCTTTTTTTTTTTTTGGTTGTCTCAGAGTGTGTGTGTGTTTTAAGGTGTATGTGTGTGTTCTTGTTTGATTGTGTGTGTCTGTGTGTGCTTTTTGGGGCTTCTTTTCTTTCGATTTCGTTCGTTTCGTTGCTTGAGTGCTGCGCTGCCATTTTTGCTTCCTCATTCATCCATATCCATATTTTCCAAGCGGTTGCTTTTCTTCTCCTCTCTTCTTTTTTTTTTATCATTCTGTGTGTGTTCTTTTTTTGGGGCTATGTATCTGTGGGTGTGCGGGTGATAGGATGGGGATGACTGTATTGGATGCTGTTTTACGGTTACTTCTTTGAGGGAGCTTTCTTTTTATTATATTTATCCTTAATTTTCTTGAGCGGCAATGATTTGTTCATCTTTACTTTCTTGATACACCTTAGGGACTGCTATGGGATTTATACAGGGTATTATTAGCGTTGTCGTTTTACATAAATGCTGATCGTTATTTTGCTTCTTTATTATTTGGAAGTACTATGTTGCTTTTATCGTTGTTTTCTCTACTTTAAATTACTTTCTTTTTGTTTTTCCTACCTCTATCTCCTTCTATCTATATCTTTATCTTCCTCACACACTCTCTCTTCTCTGTCTAATTCGAGTCTCTTTTGTTTGTTTGTTTCTTGTTTTCGTTTGTTTTCTTTCATTACCATTTCTCTTTTTTCTTTTTGGTCAAGTGTTGCACTGCCAGTGTTGTAAAATGCCACACAAAAAACATACATACATCAAAGGTGACGAAACGAACAGTTATTAAAAACAAAATAATCGGTTAATTGACTAAAGCAAATAATATATATATATATGCATGTTGTGTATGTGTGTGTGTGAGTGATAGTTTTATATGTTTGAGAGTTATGCATGTATAGTAGTCCTTGAACTTAAACTTCAATCTAAGGGATTTCCTGCTCTCGGTAATACTAAAAGCTAACATAATACATATGTCCTTGAATGTTTTTTTTTTTTTTTTTTATATAGATCAAATTTAAAGAATTGTAGTGAATTAAAAAAAAAAAAAGATATTAAATAGCATGATATTTCCACATGTTTTAAGATGCTAAATGAATCGGTGAATGTGTGTGTGTGGAGTTTTCCTTTCATCTATTACGTTTTGTTATACAATTTATTCTGTTTAATGTTTAATTTGGTTTTTTTGTTTCGTTTTGTCTTTAAATATAAACGCAATTTGTTTTGTTTTATTTTTTTTTTAGTTTTTATATTTGTAAAAATGATTCTTTGCTCCTGGCGCTCAAAAACCTCAATACAGTTGTCTCTCTCTCCGTCTCTCAGTGTGGCTGTTGCTGTTGTTGTTGTTGTTGTTGTTGTTGTGTATTGCTGTCTATTGGTCTTCCCGTTGTAAACTATCATTTCGATTTTTATAATATATTTTTTTTTGTATCGATTTTTGTTTGGTTTACATGCAATTGAATGAATTGGTTTTTTGTTTGTTGTGTGTTCGTGCGTATGTGTTTGTGTTGTAGTTTTGTTTATATATTTTTTTTTATTGGTGGTTTTTATTGAATTAGTTTTTCTACACCCAATGTTAAGAATCGATCGATTGGAACGATCGATTTTAGATCGATAGGTTTATATAGATATATATATTTTGTGTTCAGACAGGCAGAGACACGTTTAGATTCATTATCATATTCAGGTTCAGGTTGTCGATCGGATATTATGGATGTTTGATTTGATTTGATTTGGTTTTTGTGGTGGTGGTGGTGGTGGTTGGTTGGTTTGGTGGTTTTGTATGTGTTGGGAGAGAAAACAAATAAAAAAAAGATATAATATATATATATATATGCTTAGTTGAATGATTCATAGATGGCGTTTGTTTTGTTTTTTTTTTTTAGTCAATATATAAAGATTTTTAGATTAAGAAATAATACACAACGAAAAAGATGAGAGAGTGGGGTTATAAGTGAAAATGTTATTAGCTAGTTATTAGGTTTTAAATTTACCGCTCGTAGGGGCATTTTAAAATTGGCTGCTGCCTGCAGCTGAATTTGATAAGCTAAGCTGTGTATTTTAAAGCCATACAGCCTAGTTAATTCATCAAGTTGTCATCATTGTAGATACACGCGAACATAGAATAATACAAAATTATCAGTGTAAATATGATATGAATTTCATAAAATAGCTTACCTTGGAACAAACTGATTAGTAGGACGCTTGGGACGATACTCGGGGTGCACCATAAAGAGCATGTGTGGAAATCCAGTGCCGAAATAGGCGCCATCGGTGTGGTGATGGCGCGACGATTTTGGTGTGTACACGTCAATGCACTTGGGGCAATAGGTCTTCACCATTGCCTCGCCGGGGATGTCCGACAGACCTGTGAAATATATCATATATATTTTAGGAATGATAGCAAACAAATAATAACTGATCACTGAATTCAAGTTTAAGCAAGCCCCAATATCGAATTTCATTGACATTAAGTTAATTTCAGATCGTCCCGGCTTATAGTATTGTCGATAAAGTCAAATTATTTGCAATTCGATTGAATTGAATTTGGATATCACTCAATCGAAAATGTTTGTAAAAATACGTTTAATTTAATTTTTGTTTATCACTGAACATGCAAAAGTTCCCGGAATAGGGTCGATTGCTAACTCGAAATGATAATCTAATATTTTTATAGTAATTTGATTCGTCATTTTCTGGCCAGAGAATTAGGGGTGCAGTAAGTTCAAACCCTCCAAAATGCTTACAAGAAGATGTGTTGTCTACGTTTAATGTTTATCACCGATCTTGCTTCCAAAGTGAAATCAACTAATTCTGATTATTGAAAGTTAAGGAAGATTCTGGAAGGATTAATCTATCTTGAGGACTCGAAATGATATGATAATGTGATGAAATTAAGTTATTTTTCTGTTTTTTAATAGTGAATAGTTTGTGGAATATTGGGTATTATGGAGAATTGTATTATGTATAGATCTCTTCTTTTGAATATTTATTTCTAACCGATTTAGGAATACAGTTAACAAATTAGAAGCGTAATGTGTGGAAGTGCTATAGAGATCAGTTGTTTATTAATACAAGCAACTACTTTCCCATGGGTATCAAATTTGATTTCAGTTTGCAAGTAAGTAACTGGCGAAAAGTATACTCCAGAAAGGTTACAAATGTGATCCTAGATCCTAAATATGTTCTAGTTAATTTTTAATAATGAAGGAAGCTTAAAATGAGTATTTACATATGGAAGTATGACAAAGTTTTCTGGGATATATTATTCAGAGAATATCATTGGTTTCTAGTGACGAATGCAATCAGCTTGTTTGAAATATGTAAACATATCTATACTGGCAATACCCATAGTGAAATATATTTCATTTCAAGGTTATGGTAAATTAATAATAGGAAAGTTTCTGTTTTGGAAAATTAAAGAAGATATTTTAGCGTGATATTTTCCGAACATAATTCATAAAAACATTGCTTGGTTTTGCTAAGTGAGTTTGTCCCGATTGGTAAAACTTCGGTTATGACTGGTTATTCAAGGATCTGTTTACGAACCCAATGGCAGCATAGGCTGACTTTCACAGTAGACACGTGGGCAGTGTCCGAAATCGCCAGTTTGATATTTCTCAATCATTTGAGCGATGCCGCGATTTGTTAATATATATCTAGCGTGTATGAGTCCATAGAGCATCTCGGCGGCCTGCTCGGTCATATCCGATTGCAGGGGATTATCTTCGAGCTCATCCTCTGTGGAATAATAGAACATATTATTTAGATATATATTCATTCAAAAAAGTTTAAACATCATAATCATACCCGGCTCCAGATCCAAGATCATGTCCAAGGCTTGCCGATAGTTGGGCACCTGCTCATTTAAACCAGTTAAATTAAATTTATCCTGTATGTAGTCCTCGTCCACCTGGAATTTTAAAAAGTAATTAGATCTGTCCCTGAATATTTTAATATATATATAAATATATATTGTATATATCTTATGTGTGTGTACAGTTGGGCACAGTTTTGCCCCACCTTGCGGCACACAAAAACATACACATATATACAGTTTTAGCAGCTCAGGGCTGCACTTTGCAATTGTTGCACTTATAGCGCGCGCTTAGATAACGCGATTATAGTAAATCGCGGGGAAATTATTTTGGTTGGTGCGGCAGCACCAATCGGGTAATATAACTTACCTCGCAGAAGAACTCATTGCCACGAAGTCCACAGAACCAGGTGACCCAGGAGACTTCCTCGGAGCTGCTCATTTTGCTGTAAAATAATCGAAATGGTATTGCTAACTTCTTATATGTTTTCCTTATTTTTTTTTTGCTGACAAATTATCCTGCACACGCATACATTGATGCACATGTCACACACGTACACCCGCATTCGCACACACACAAACACAAGAGCACGCACACTGGGACAAACGCTCACGCACTATTACATACATTAAGGGGATTATTTTGCGTAATTTCGGCCTGGCGTGCGGAATTTATTGTGGAAATATCATGGAATGCAAAAACTTGACGAAAGTTTTTCCACTTTTTGTACTTCTCTTCTAGTTTCTTTTTCGTTTAATTTTTTTTTTTGCCTCCGCTTCTTGTTGCTTGCACACACTTCTCCACCGCACACCACACTCTCTTTTTTTCCGCTTCTTTTGGTTTGGTTTGCGTTTTTTGTTTTCTTAGCCTTTCGCCTTTAGAGGAATTCAATGTTATACGTTTTGGATGATCACGCCGTTCAAATGGGGGGAAAAAACTGAAATTTTTATACTCGTATTTTGACAATTGACAAGCGCTCATACAAAATGTGCCGAGCAGTAAGAAGAAGCACAACTGTGGAAATTGAGAAAAAAAGAGACACATATACAGGGGGCACACACACATTCACGAACACACACACACAAATAGAGACGTGCACACATGCACGCCTATCCACGGAGGAGCGCAATCAACGCACAGAGGCTTGGTATTTTGCATTATTCCCGCTAATGTTGTGCTCCACTGGCCGGCACTCACCTAAATTGTTATTAATTACGCAAATTGATTGACGTTTTCAATGCAGCTGAACCGGTAAAGGCAAATATTGTAGCGAAGACGGGGATCCAGGTATGCAATCGCGCCTATCGATAACCGCTGCCTGCTCTGACCGCAGGCGAATGTCTATCGTTGTGGCGTATTGTCATCGCTAACCGATATATGTGCCATGTCAGATTGACGTGTTTTGCAACACTGCTTTGCGTAAGCTAACAATTTATATTCAATATTCTTAATATTATAGTTTTATTATTGAAATTTTCAAGCTTAAATTTAATATATATATTATTTGTTAAAACACTGAGCTGCGCCTTTCCAGACGAAAAATGCCACTGTCGATTATACATCGGTATAATGTGGTATTTCTATTGCTTAGGGTTTTTTTTGTGTATTAAACGGATGGGCACACTGCATGGATAAGCTTTTGAAAAAAGATTACGGTAAATCAGTATACGCCTTTTATTTGTGCAAAATTTATAAAATAACACCAACAAAATGGAAACTTATTAGTAAGTTTAGATAAGTATGCATATTAATACGGTTCATTTATGAATATTGTTTACTTTCACAGCTTATTGACAACCTTGAATATTTCTTTGGCATTCTGGCGTCCATTCACCACATAGGCCAATGGATCGTCCCGACTTGACTCCATAAGGTGGTCACACGAGTCCTGATTGATGTCGAACATAAAGGATGCGTCGATATCCTGCGGCAACTTGCCACGCAGAAAGCTGATCTCGTTGTCCGCCAATGACGTTTTCCGGGACAAAAGCAATGCGGAAAGGTAACGCGGTTGCTTCTTCTTTTCGGCACAATGCATAACCAGGCCCCAGGTGTCGTAATCTGTGTCCAAGACGTATGTGTTGTAAATGCCCTCATCTGGAATATACGGTATTATAAAATTGAATTGGAAAAATAACAGGTAAGACCCTATTAGAAAGACCACTACATATACATATATTTTAGTATTGTAGCATACTTTTTAGCATATCTTCTGATTGCATACTTAAAGGTATTTTTTGTAATTGTTTTCAAAAGTATGTATCAGATTCTTTTGTTAATTTACCACTCACATATATCCTCCGTGTGTTGCCAATGTCCTGGCTCCTCGAATCTTGGTATCATCCATGTGATATTGCCAACTAGCTTTTCTCGCAATGGATCCTCCGCGAATATGTAGCTGAAGTTCATTGTTATCTAATTCAAGTGGTTTAAAAATGTTATATTGATTAAAAAAGGATTTTGATGATACTTACATGTTGATCTTCCTTAGAGAAGGAAAAGTGACTTCGCATACATGCGTATTCGGGCATTTCCTCCGTGGAAGCATAATACTGCACCACATGCCAGCATCCCATCATCCGTTCCAAATCGAAGTTCTTTATGGCACCTACCTTTAAGGAGAGATATGTTGTTTAATTAATATAAATCAATTTTTATTTGATTTTGATAAATTTTAAAAATTATATGTCAAATATCCTTCAAATTTACATAAATTTAATTGTGTTTTATCCAAGTATAAACAAGCTATGTCCACTATTAGTGACCCGAAAACCCAATTTAAATAAGATTCTTTTAAGGTCAAGGGTACAGCATGCAAATAAATTAGTCACATAAACATTTAGGCCTCAAAAGCCCTTACTATTTTCTCTTGCCAGCTTAACTAGCTGTATTTATTAACATCATTTGACTTGGCGACCACAAAACAAACTTCAGTAGGAGAAAGAGTTAAAGAAGCGAAAGAAGACGAAAGCCGTTAGCGCTGTCACCGTGATTGACTACTGACAGTTCATTGAGGAGTCGGTGTCGCTGGCTCTATTGCCGTCTCTTTTGTTAAGTCGCTATTGCCATCTCTATCGCTGTCTTGCAAGACGCGACTTACAGACGCGAAATGTAGACGCAAGTCAGCCTCTGATTGATGCGCCTCAAAAGCGCATTGCCCCGCTTGTGCCGCCCCCTTTTCACTCCCCCTTTCACTTATTTTTTGTTGAAGTCTCTACGTGCGTGTCTTTTGTCTATTCTTGTTGATTGTTTTCTGGCTTTTGGCTCGCTTTTCGGTGTTTGTATTTGGTATTTGTGTTACTGCACCTGCATCAAAGTGCAATTGTCGCCGCCAACGGAGATGCAGACAGTAGAGGTGGTAAGAAAGAGGAGGAGAAGAAAGGTAGTAGACGGATAGAGAAGACAGCGAGACGCAGACGACGTCTGAGCCACTTAGAAAGTGTGATTGATTTTGGCATCGGTGTGAGCCCATTTCTTCTGTCTTGCTCTTTCTGCGCCTTGCTTTTATGTCCCATTCATTCTTTTTACTAGAGATGGAACGTGCCAGCTAATAGATATAAGATGATTACTATAACTATTCACCTATCATCAGTTACTGTTTGCTGCTATCAAAATCTTTTGAGAGGCGAAATTAACCTATCGTAATTTAACTTTTCGTGATGTAGGAAAATCTTGAACGGGTTTATTACCGCTATGACTTTAACCTGTTGAGAATTCTAGAACTTTTCTTATAAAGTGTTGCTTATTTATATATAATATATGGCAATTTTCTTAGTAGTAAACTTTATATCAGTATTCTATAAGTCTAGAATTTGTGGCAAATGAATCATTTGAGATATATGTAAGTATTTCCCCTTCTATGCAAGAATGATGGTGTCACCACTAGAGACTTGAAATATGTCACAGTGTGCCCGGCATATTGATGAGCCTTTGAGTTTTAGTTTCGGTTTGAGATGCTTTCCTTCTCCGGCGGCTGTGCTCAGAATGAAATCGAATCGAAGCTAGGTGAAGCCAAGTGAAGCGTTGCCAAAGAAAGTGATCCAAATAGGAGAGGCCAGGGACGTGACCAGGGACGGGAGAACCTGTACTACCAAAACTGCACCTGCATCCCAAATATCAAATTGTGTCTTAACTGTCTGCCATTCTAGTTCTTTTGTTCTTTAGCTTAGGGCATATTCATTGGTTAAAGGTGACCTTAATTTCATATAGTTACGGAACAAATGTTATTTCATGCTTTTGGAATGATTTTTACAAGTGTTTTAGACATATCCTGACAATGAATATGTAGCATAGTCATTGTTCTAACTCTATGCGGGGATTTCATTTTACATTTAGTCAGTTCACGAAAATTATCTTACATTTTTATCACAAAGTCTGAGTAGTATTTTCTGTAACCTTTGTCTAGTTGACCTTGTTGGCATGGTTTAAATAGGATACCTACCTTCGGACACGTATTACTCGGACCTGAGCGCTTCCTGGTTTGATAAGCATTGCTGTTGTGCCGTGTCCACACGGCATCTGCTGAGTGCAAAGTTTCCAGGATAATTATAAATAAGGAGAAAAGTAGGAGTAATCCATTCCTGCCCATGATCACAGGCATTGTTCCGGATCACGGGGTGCTATAGTAGCGTTATTGTCGTTTATCTTCCGGCGGGCTTAGACGCGCGATCTCCGTTGCGTTGTCGCTGGCACTGTTTTCGATGGCACTGCGCCATCTCCGAGAGCTACATGCGACATTAGCATCCAGCAGTAGCTACACTGCAAATAAAAATGTATATAATAAGTGCAAGAATACATAATAATAAACCAATATGATATTGCGGCTTGTTATGATTCTAAATTTCCTTAATTTTCTAAAAAACTTAATCTTGAATAGAACTATAAAAGTAAAGTCTTCATCAAAGTATTCAAAATTTTCTTTGAGTGCATCGCAGCGAATCGGAACGCAACGGATTCGGATGTTTTTGCGGATAAGGCGCCTTCTTATTGCCACAGAATGCTTGGGAATAGCTATGGCTGGGTCATTATCGGGAGCTGGAAATAAATGCGACATTACTGAGCACTCGGTTGGATTTTAGCTATATATAGAAGCTAATTTGAGTGTAAAAAAGTAGAAAATCACACAGAATTTCTACATACATTGGTTTGATTTAGTTTCCTTAAAAAAAAACTTATTGGGTTTAAACGATAAATAGATTAAAAACACATCTTAAGACATTTTACCAACCTTTCCTTTTCTTTTTTTAAATCGCTAGAGTCTAAAATGTAGCGGTTTTTCTAGGCGATGATCGCATCTCTTGCCAGCGTGGTGAATTCAACCACTCATTTAAATATTGGAATTTAATCAGCCTTCGTCCATCTCCCTCGCACTTGTTCTCCTTCCAAGAGTGTGGGTGAGTAAGCCGCTCTTATCAATTATAACGTCCGTTTGCCAGCAAAAGTCCAGTCAATGCCTTCCATTGCGAACGTATATACGTATACATATATACATTTATATATATAAATATATAGAGTCTGGGAAACGGGAATTAGTATTTTTGGTTGCATCTTGTTTTCACTTGTCGCGTGGATGTAGATTTCCAGATTTTCAGGCAACTTTCTCGTCGCGGAGAGCGAAATTTTCGGGGTGGTGTATTGGCTGGCATGTGTGGTGAAGGTGTATTGGGGAGGAGATGGTTAACGGGGGTTGCGGTAGGAGATAGAGAGTGTGGGGAGTGGAAACAGGAAACATTTTAATAGCCTGCAAATTTATTCTTTACGATCGCCAGAACGTACAGAGAGCTCCGCTGGACACTTTCTCTTTATTGCGAAACGAGTTGCGCGGCATTTTCACGACCGGACTGGAATGAAACTGGACATCCTCAGAGGTTTGCTACTTTTGCCGCTGCTTCTTCTTCCGCCTGCGTCTGCTTTTTAAAGTTTTTTTTTTTGTGTTTTTTTTCTTTTTGGAGTTGTCTGGTTTTTTGTTGGCCAGCCCAAAAAAGCGGCGCAACTTTCGTCGCCGCATTGCGTTGCGATGCGTTAGCGGCCAGTTCCGGCTTCTACGGCAGCTCCTTCTTCGCTTCACCTCCACCAGCAGCTCTCTTCCACCTTCCTTTCTTGGCCTTTTCCCCCGCCGTTCATCCACCACCATCTCCTCCTCATCTTTCTTCTCTGTTCCATTGCAGATGCACCGAAGCGAAAAGCGGCTTTTAATGCGCCAGCGAAACGAAATGAAAAGAAATAAAGCAACAAGTGCGCAATCGGAGAAATGTCGCCTGCTCTACTCCTTCGGATCGCCTCCCGCTCTCTTCCACATCGTCTTATGTTTTATTTTTTTGGCCAGTTCCTGCTCTCTCGCTGAAACGAGTGTGTGTGTGTGTGTGTGCGTGTCTGCCGATGAATGAAGTCTAAGATCAAGGGCGGATTAAGGACAGGAGCTCAGTAGGAATGGAAGTGGGTAAGTGGGGAAAGAAAGACGAAAAGATAATATAAATATTTAACCCGTATATGGGTTTAGATGTTTAACCCTATTAAAATTAATTTAAAAATAATGAAAAAATATATTTAATTAAATTTGAATAACTTGTAACTTACTACTTTAATATGTATTATTTTAATATATTTATTTCTATTTTTTATTTTTATTTCATGCCTAATTATTCAGTTTGGTTTTGTCTTTTTGGTATTGAAATTTCGTTTTTAAACTTTCAATTTCAAAACTAAAGCTGGAACTAACACAGTCCAAGTTAATTGGATTAGAAAGAGTGTGTGTCACTTCCGGAAATGGGGAAGTGCACTTGCCTTAGATGTAGCTTATAGTTGCCTTACAAGGAAAGTATCACGACTAGTTAGGATTCAAACTTAGTAGGGCATAAATAATTCGACAATTAATAAAACATCAGAGGAGATGAACTGTTAAACTCTGATATGCTACTAAGATATGATTATTTTCTTAAATAATCTAGTTTACAGCTGTTTCGATACGGTTAAAGTATATAATTTGATAAATTTCTAATTATAAATGATCTATGTTTTACAGTGTGCGTGTGTCTGTGCTTATCCGGCTGCCCATTGAGATTTCTCAATGAATGGCACTGAGCTTTTGGACACGCCACCCGATCATCCAACTGAATTGGCCATATAACTGCTAGCTAGACGCAGACACCACCGGAATCGAAATGCCTCAAATGCCAGTGCCACGCCCGAATCCAAATCCGAGTCCAAAAAACCGAATGCCAACAGGTGGGGCAAGCTGAAGCTGGGAGCTGTAAGATGTTGGAGTGCCACAGGTGAGTATGAGCTACAGGTGACAGTCGACAGTCAGGCAGACGGAATGTCTGGCGCGGCTTGTTGTGGAATGTCAAACGTTTATTTGCCGGTAATTAAATTTGAAAATGATTTAAATTTCACCAGCGAATATTTCAAATTGGTCTTAACACTTTCTTTCTTTCTTTAGCAGCATCTGCATCAGCATTTGTCTCTTTTTGGCCACCCGCAAAAAAAAAAAAATGCCATCGACTGCGATGACCCACCTAAGACTTGAAGGCCCTCCCCTTTTGCGTCGCACAATCCACCGTCCATGGGCAATCCATGGGAGCAATCCGGCTGATTGGAGATTTGTTTTCTATTTGCAATTGATCGATGCTCGCCTGCCAAGCACCACCACCAACAACAACAACAGCAGCAGCCACATAAAATTGCAAAAAAAAAACGTTAACGCAAAAATTGAGCTGTACGTTGTTAGATGGTGTCCACGTCCGGTGGATTCGTTAATGGCATACCGAACTTGGGATCAGGCCGATGGATTATGGTACCGGCGGACCGGTCCAACTTTCAGCTCGATACTTTGGACCGACCTTCTTGAAAAGCGCTAACCAAAATTCCTAATTTCATGTTAATTAAGTTTTTTTTTGGTTAACAAAATGGTTTTAAGGTTAGTATTTCTACTACTTTTTGGCTGTCTTATATCTTTTATATCGTTATCATCTTCAATCCTTTCATATCACTAAGCTATCTATTATAGAACTTAAAGAGAATCAAATTAACTAGATTAAACCCCTTTTCATAGCAATTAACAGCAACTTGAAACCATTTCCTAAAACTAAACCAACCCATTAAGATCTTGGCCTTTTGCAGGTAAATCAACTTTTACCCAAAGTCAGCACTTGGAGCATGATTCTGGAGTGGTTGCCACCACCTTCTCCTCGATCTTTCAAGTGCGTGTGGATCGGAAAGCGTGTGGGATTACTTGGAGTGCACTTGGTGGGTACATGATACACCATCATCATCATCGTAGATCATGGCTAGTTTCGCTCGCCGCTCAATTATGCAGCAACAGACACAAGTACAATGACACATACATAGAGACTCCGTAAACGGGGACTAGAAAACAAAAAAAACAAAACGATAACGGGGGTAAGGGGCTGTGTGCGTGCCCTTCCCATGGCCACCATCCATCATCCGTCGTCCAGCATAACCCATCAAGTGGGTTCCGTTTTGTTTGCGCATGCGCAGCGCATTCAGCATCGATATTTCACGATCGTCGTCTGCGGTTTAGACTGTGTTTTATGGCAATAGAGTTGAAAACTAAAGGAAAATGGGAGGGGAGAGGCGGGGGGAAGAGATGGAGCTGACTTCGTGCTGCTATTTGGTGGTCCGCGATTTTGTTTTCATTTGGAAAGTGGGTGTGTTTGTCTAGCTGTCGGAATGGCCCAGCTCCCTGACTCTCAGACTGTGTCCCCTTCTCCAATGTCAACTTATTGGTAGTGACCACCACTTGGCAGACTCTCGACGACGTCTGGGAAAATGCTTCCCCTTTTGCCAAGTCTGGCCAGGGTCAAAGCTAAAAGCTAAAGTTTGGGTTCGAAGAAAGGAAATGTGAGAAATGTTAAAGAAGAAAAACGAGGAAAGTGATCTATGATGCTCTTCAAACGGATTTTCCTAATATGAGTTTTGTTTTTTTTTTAATTTTTTTTCAACTGCCAGAAGAAGTTCATTGCAGTCAAGTGGTTAAGTGATCTATGATAATTTATGTTGACATTTTGGATGATTTTCAAATATTTACGCTTGAGCTTTACGATCTACAACTTTATTTGGTTAATCTTTAACTTTTTTTTTGGGTTTTGAGTTTTATGAGCGTAAACAAAATTTATTATGACACTTTTTTTTTTTATTACTGTACTTGGGAAATGAAATATTTTAGTGTCCAAGTGGACTTTTAGTAAGTTGAATTAATAGTGGGGAAAAGTGTTGTTAGCTGTAGTAGCTTTTAGTTTTAGGGATACTTTTTGACTTTCTTTGCCATTTAGGCTATACTTTTTGTGAAATGTTACCAAGCCCATCGATATGAAAGTTCTTCATTTCATTTCCCAGAAAATTAACCAAAAAACCCAAAAAGCTGACCAAAACTTTCATGGCGAGAATGTAGCTCAAAAGTATCCGAAAAGTGTACTGTTTTTTGTACTTATTTTTTTTTTGTATTTTTTTGCGGAACTTTCATAACCGACGCGCATCGATCGTTCGATCCCAGCCAGCTATCCAGCCAGCCAGCCACCAATCCATCCATCCATCCGTCCATCGAATGCGGTCCGCACCTGAAATTCCATTCGATTTCCAGGCTGAAGATATGGCCCCAGGCCAAGATACTCGGATACTTGGGATGCTGCGGTACTCCGAGATACTCAGATGCTCGAGATACATACATGCGTGTGTGAGTGTGTACTGGCTTAGATTGCCGAATTGTGAGGAGGAGGTGAGTATCGTATCGGTTGGAATCGTATGGGGTTTCGTATGGAATTGAGTGAATGAGGGGGGCGGTGCACCACTGGACTGGTTCGACTGAGAAGAATCTTTTTCAACAGCGGCTAATTGACTTTCAATGTTGTTTTATTTTTCTTTCGTTTCGTTTAATTTTATTTGAGCGTTGTCGAGGCGAGAAAGTGAAATTGATAGGCAGACAAGTGGCTCTCCCAGCGATTCCGAGATGTCTATAGCAGGTGAAGGGGTAGGCGGAATGCGGGAAAAAGGGGATTTCATCCGTATGGGATTCTAAGGAGGCACTTTCTAAGTCCCCAAAAGCATGAGTTGCAAGTAGCTAATACACTGGAGGAAATTGTAAACAAAAGGTAATAGAAATTTGCTTAGAATTTGAAAGGTTTTTGATATATTTTCGGGAAATTTATACAATGTGATTAATCTGTATAAAGTTTTTTTAGTTTATTGTTTCTAATTAGATATGTATTAGCTAGTTTAAGTTAGTTTATATGATAATACAGGCAATAAATTCCATGGAATTATCTAAAAATTCTAACTTTTTTAGTTTTAAAAATCTATAAATCCAAGCTCACTTTTTTTAAAATCATAGATAATGTTAAAATAACATTTTAAACCTAATCAAATCAGTTCAAATTTTTTACTAATATCCTTTTCTCTCAGTTTATTTACAGCTTTACCTGTAACCCAATTCTTCTCCCTTGGGTGGCGGCATCTTCGCTTAATATTTCCACACCCACAGCGGACAAAAAGTGTCTTCTCATGGCCTAATGGCAGCTATTGCTACTGTTTGCTATTGCCGCTATGGCGGCACATGTTGCCGCTTTTGCCGTCGTTGCAGTTGCAGTTGTTGCTGCTGCCGTGGCACTTGTTTTTTTTTTGTTGTTGTTCGTTGGCGGCGTTTTCACTTTGGTCGAGATCTGCCATTGCCACCTTGTAACCCCTCTGGGCGCTGGCCAAACAGCCGAAAGGTTATACTGGCAGCAGAGGCACAACAGCAATCAGTAGATGCAGCAGCAAGAGCGGCAACAGCAGCAGCAGCAACAGCAACAGCCGCTGCAACACAAAAACAAGCGCGACAGATGACAAACGCTGGCAGTTTTGCCGGCGATGATGAAGTGTCAATGCAATGAAAACTAAACCAATAAATTGTGAGAGCGACCCAAATAGTTGGCTAGAAACCGGCGTGGCAAAGAGGATTTTGGCCCGCAACGTAAACGCTGTTGCATTAGCTCCAGTTGCAACATAGAACCGTAGAATCCCGCTGGACGCCCGATGTACTTCGACCTTTTTGGATGAATGGATGGATCGTCGTCATGTTTTCACCCAGACCTTTTGCAAAGACAGCATAGCGCACCACATTTGGTCAGCGAACAGAAAAGCACCCCTCCCCAACCCCCGCTCCTTCTGCCACTGTAAGTAAAAAATAAAATAAAAAAAAAAAAGCTGTGAGAAATTGAAGCGCAATTCAAGTCGACGGCGGTGGATGGTGAAAGTAACAAGATACTTTTAATAAGACATCTCGCGACGCCGCTTAAGATGCGTGAGGCGTGCGACCAGAAGATACAACATGCTGCCCTTCTCTCCATATGATATATAGTAATATGTATGTATGTGCCTGTCCCTCTACTAACCATATACCATGCCATTGCGTATCATTCTCTTCCGCAGAAGATGTAGAAGGAGGGGGAGCGGCTAACTGAATCCAAATCTCATGCAAAAATCATGGCCAGTAATTGACCAAGTTAGCAGACGGTCACAGGCTGCCGGCGGTAGACTGAATGGCGCGTGTTACTTAATGTGCAACGACGCCACAGCGATAGACGAGCCGAGCGCTATGTTAGACGACAACGGTGCTGGCCACTTTCCTGGCCTGGCGGAACCGGAGCAGGAGCAGGCACCCCCCAATCCTCACAGCTTACACAGCTTTACTGCCATACTACTGCAACTGCAACTGCAACCAATCGAAATTACTCCAATTTCGAAACGGGTCTTTTTGGTCATATTTAGCAAACAGGAATCCGCGAGGCGATCAGAGCGGCGCCCCTAAAAACTCAAAACTGCAAAGTGGAATTGAAATGGCGATGAAATGCTCAGCTCGACGGGATCGGCACAGTGGGTCGGCCATTTGGTCAATGGATCATAAAAAAATGGTAATTAAAAGATTAATGCATCCGAATTTGGACCACCAAATATTGATGGTTCATTAAAATATTGATTATTATACGTTATATATATTAGCATATCCTTTAAAGTTGAAGTATCATAAATATAAATTATTAGCTTTGCTTCCTTTTTGATCAGTATTATTATGACTCAAATTTGGTCTTGCTTCATCATAAAAACAACATAAAAATCTTGTTAATACTTCCTAAATAATGCTTAATTTTTTGGACATAAATTATAAATACATCTATATTAACTTTTAATCACCGAATAATCATGGATCATAAAAATATAGTTTAATTAGCTAAGATAATGCATCATAAAAGTTGATAACTTCACAAGAAAGTTAAGTAAATACTGCAATAAAGTATATTTAGTTAATATATTATTAATTTTAACTAAAAAAACATATAATATTTGATAAATTAATTAATTTTTCCTCAGATTTCCTACTACTGTGCCTTTGCCTTATCAATTGCCTTCGTTGTCGCTGGTGTTGCAGTTGCTCATCCTATTATTTCAACGAGAGCAACTTGTTGTTGCCTCAGTTGTGTTGCTGTTACAGTTTTTTATTTGTTGTTGTTGCCCCAACAATGCCAAATGCGGCAGTTGGCAAAAATATTTTATGGAAAAGTGGAACACTCGATGAAACATTACAAGGCGACTGTATAAACAAAATGTAAGAAAAAAAACAACACACAGCGATATCTCTGCCCCTTTCAGGTGACTGTTTTTTTTTTCGTTTTAGGTATCCATCATGTTGCACCATCTGCTACGCCTATACCCCATCCATTTACCACCCACTTGGAAACGCAACGTGCGGCAATCAAAAGGGCGCCCACACACCCATTTCTTGGCATGATTGCTTGCTGCCACAATTGGAGCATGGGCAGTGGACAATAATTGTGGCACAAGGCAAAAAACGTGGCAGGTGGTAAGGGGAGGGGGAGTCTTTGGTCAGTGGCAGTGGCTGAGAAGGCGGTGGGAGGGGGAATAGAAAGTGCAAACAGTTAGAGGACTTGTCCCCATGCAATTGTCACCGTCGTCGTCGTCGTCTGCTGCTTCTGTAACCCATTGCAACTGAAAGTTGAAGCTGCCGCTGCTGCTGCTGCTGCCCAGTATAAACAAACAGAACACTGGGGAAACCAACTAGCAACCGACGACGCATGCCACGAGCAGCAGCAGCAGCGGCAGCAATATCAGCTACGGTAACATCCACAACAACAAGAGGAGTATTTGTGGCAGCAACAACTATAGGTAACAACATTAGGTCTAGGAACAGCAACAATATGAGAAATACCTGCAACAACAATAGGCATGGCTAAAGGAGCAACAACAACAACAACAGCAGCAGCGGCAGCAATATCATGCACAGCAGCAACATTGGGCCCAAAAAAGCAACACTGGCAACAGCAACATGCAGCATGAGGCATGCAACAGCAACAGCAACATCAACCGGCAAGCTGTACTTGAACAAGTCGTACTTGGCATCGTATTTTGGATTTGGACTTGGCCGACTGCCTTAGTGGAGGCCTCAATGGAAAGAAGAAATTTCGCTGCCGGCGCCGACGGCGGCGTCGACGGCGCAATGTTGCTGCTGCTGCGCATGCGAAGTGTTCCGCTGCGAGAAAGCAGGTGTCTGCAGCATTCGGCGCTAAACCACGGCGCGAAGCAGACGCGTTTCTCTCTCTTTTTCTCCTCCTCCAGGCGGGCCACCACCATCGATCGATCGATCCTCGGCATCGAATAACTAAAACAAAAACATAAAAAAAAAAACGAAAATTTTACAAACAACCAAACAAAAAAAAAAACACTGCGAATCCGAGCAAAACAAATAGCTAATAGCAAAACCCAGCACTAGTTGCAAATCGAACAAAAAAAAAAAGGAAAAAAAATAAGAAAAGAAATAGAAGACGAAACGTAAAACGTAAACGAAACGGAAAGAACCGCTTGGAAAACGGTTAGCGAAGTGATCAACACGCTTTTTGTGTCCTTTTCTTTTTTTTTTTTGTTTTTTGATATTTTCTTTTGTGTGTGCTCCACTTGCAATCGTTAATTGTTGACCGCGTGCAACGCCCCCCCTTTCGACCAACCCCGCTGCTGTCATTACCGTCAAACCATCAGCAACATCAGCGGACAGACAACGTCGGTGCATTGGCAACATCAGCAACTAGCAACATCGGCGGGCAGAAGTAACGGCCACCGTTCGAGTGCAACTGTTTTCGAAAGTTGCCGCTAACGTATCCTGTTTGTCAGCCTTCGGTATTTGGAATTGGAATCGGAACTTTAACTGGAACAGCTAGTAAAAAAAAATTGTGGAATCGGGCCAAGGACCTAATAGGTGAGTGCCGGCAAATGTAGTTTTGATCGATGATTGTAGATATGATCGATACACAAACCGGAAGTTAAACTGCCTTGATTTGTGAGAAGCGGAACTATGCTAGTAATTAGTAGGAAGATATAGGCTTATTTTAGAGAGTTATTAGATCTTAGTATTCCTAATTGATCAGAGAAATGAATGTAAATAGGAGACCTACAGATTTCAAGCGTGGTTTAACTTTAAAGGACGTAATAGGACTACCAGTCCTAAAGTTAAAGTATTTAACTAAGACCAATCTTATATGATCATAACTTAATATTAGGTAAAAGATTAGTATTAGACATCAAAAAATATTCTTTGAAAAGACAAATTACTTTCTAGAAATTATCAAAAAAGGCATCTGTCCTAAACTTTTAGAGGCATTTTTTTTATATTCCAAAATTTAGCTAAGCTCATTCGGCATTTGATTATAATGCTTTTCTTGGTTATAACAATTTTAAAAAATAATTGAATTTTTAAAATATATAGATAAATATTTCAAAGATTTGTAGATTCCAAAGTAATTCAGTTTTACGTACTTTAAAAAGTATTTTTATTAATCGATCGTTTTAAATTAATTTCTTCTTGAAGTTGAATTCAAGGACATGAATTGCCAGTTAACAACTTGAAGAATAATATTTTAATCTAAAAAAATGCATACAGTCATATACTCTCGTAAATCTTTTAAAATCTTTGATATATTTGATTTTTATTTTTGAATTAGAAAACTCAATCCTTTCAAACTATTTTATGAATTAGAAATCTCAATCCTTTCAAACTATTTTAAAATATGACATATTTGTCATTCTCTTTTCCCTTTATTTTTTCTTTGAATCCTTTCAAATATATATATTAGTCCCAGTAATAAAATAATAATAACTACTTTAACATGATAATTACTTTTAAAGTTAAAGCAGAGAAGCAGAGGTACTGGTCAAGGTCAATAAAAAAAAAAGATTGAATGAAAGATTCACTTAATTCTTCTAAAGTTCTGCTCGATCTTTTTCGGAGAGTGAATCTTTGTTTTCACTCTCTCTTTCGGTGGAATTTCCTCACACCTTTGTTACTATCTTTGGCCTTCTAATTGGCCAACTAAGAGCACTCAGATTTGTCTGGGCCAAGATGACCCACTTGAGTTATGGGGAAACCTATTAACACTTTTCACCTCCCCAGTTACCCTTTTTCGTTAGCGTTTTTAAAAAGTTAAGTGAGTTGTCATTAAACAGATTCTTTTCTTTCTTGACTCGTCGCAGCTTCCCTTTCTTACTGTCTTTCTATCTTTCTTTTTCTTTTTTTTAGTAGTCTTTTTCTTTTATGGTCAGTGGGTGGGGTTAGAAATGAGTTTAGGGTAGGGGGAAGATGGGGGGGTACAACACTTAGCGAGTCAATCAATCATCATTGAGTTGACTGAGAAATTGCTAATAAATTGCAATTAGCGGGAAACACTTTCATATAGCAGGTAACCATAACAATGAGAAGAAATAAAAGCGAAAAGCACTTTCTTCGTTCTCTCTCATCTCTCTTCCGCTTTCCGCTTCTTCTCCTTCTTCTTTTTTAACCGCCCACAACAATAGTGAATATCGAATAATGATAAACTTAATTAATTATACGCTTAACAAACAGAAACATCATCATCATCATCGTCGTCGTCATAAGCAGTAGCAACGAGCACAGTAACGGCAGCAACATGCAACATCAACATCAACAGCAACAGCAACAAAAGCACAAACAAGTGCGCTGCAGAAATCTACGAAGAAACGTAGAAATCGGTGCTAAGAAGATTTGGCTGCCGCTTATCATTTTCCTTTCACTGCAGGTGAGTTGAGCTGATGCAAATAATTGAAATCAATTTAAGCCAAAAGCCGCAGACACAACAGCAACACATAAACAACATAAGCAGCAGCAGCAGCAAAGGCAACAACAGCTTATAAATAGATAATTCCCATTAGCAGCAGCCGGCAAAAGCTTCTTTTTTTGTTCAGTGGCATAGAAATAGTTTCTCCAAGGGGGATGTTTAAGGCAAGCCAGTGTTTAGTAGGAGAGTTATTTTATGGCCTAGTGATTAGTTAGCTAAATTTGTGATTTTATTTATTTATTAAGTTATCCTTTAAGTCCTAAACCCCCTTGTCACACCACTGTTTTCACTCTTTGCCATTTCCCCCGCTCTTTCTGTCTGCTTGTCGTCTGCCTTGTGCGTGTGAATTACAGTAAGCAAGTGTGCAAGTGAAAGAGCGCCAGTGCTGGAATAAAATGGAATGATGAGGAATGGTATGGGCTGGAATGGGATGGGACGTGTAATTGGCATGGCCTCGTTTCTCATATGTGTGTGTGTGAGTGTGTGTGTATGTGTGTTACATGTGCTGCTTTTAGTTCCTGGAACCAATCAGGAATATATACATATACATTCAATATACGATATCGCAGCGAGGAAAGTAACGGAGAATCGAGTAATTAGTGCGCATAATGGAAAGGATACATATCGGCGATGCCATCTGAAGAATTTAGAAATTTAATGCTGTTAAGGCAACGTTTTAATTAAGATTTTTCGCTTGTTGGCATTTTGCAATCTTTAAATGAATGTTGCAGTTTAGTTAGACACTTTTTAGATAGCTTACTTAGTCAGGTACTTAATTTGTTGGATTAAGAAATCGCTGAATTATATTTACCTCAGCTTTTATCTTGAAAGTAAATCATAAAAAGGACTTTCTTATTGAGAATAAAATGAATAACTGCGCATAACTTTGAAATCAAGAAGGCATTCTGTGTAAAGTGCATGCCCATCTGCATTTTAGTGGCCATCAGCAGCAGCGCATTCCTTTCTCTTTTCGTCGGCCTTTTTGGCACATATTAAAATTCCATGTGCATCCATTTTGCCTAGGTAATACCCATCCCCAGTCCGAAAACTCTGGCCCAGCGTTCGTGACGTTAGAAAGTTATTTGTTTTTGGTGTTTTCCAGCTTTTTTGTTGGCCATTCTGGGGCGATGACACAATTTAAGCCTGGCCAAAAAAAAAAAAAAAAAAAAAAATAAAGAAGTTGCTATTCCTTTAACGAGCGGCAGCATGTGGCAGCCAGCAGCAGCAACATCATCTCCACTTTTCGGCTTCCTTTTCGCTTTCATCTTGGGTCGTTGAGAAATGCTGCCAAACGGCCTGGCGTTCACCTTTGACCCTCCACCGCCAAACCAACATCCTCTATATCCCCTATCCTCCAGGCCAAGTGGCTGCCAAATTCCAATTCTCTGCTAATGTTTCACTTTCTCCCGATTTGGTGCGCTGCCAGGCAGACAGCCTCTTCCCAAATCCCAAAACAACAACAAAAACACGAAAAAAAGAGCCTAGCACATTGGTCGAGGTCAAGATTGGCAACAACAGCCGGTTTCATCTTCAGTCTTTGGTCTTTGGTCTTCAACTCTTTGAGTTTTTTAGTCTTTCAGTCTTCAAATCTTCCAGTCTTCAAGTCTTCCAGTCTTCCGTCTTTGGTCTCTAGTCTTTAGTCACATCATTAGTCTTCTCCATTGGGGATTACGGAAACTGTAGTGTGTGTTTGTGATTGTTTTTTTTTCGGGGGCGGTTGAAGGCAGAAGGGGGAGGCAGAAACTCACGACTCCCCACTGGATGAATGCCAAAAACAGTGAAGCCCACTTGGCACACATTTCAATTAACGCAGTTCTCTCGGGATGATTAGTTTCCAGTTGAAGTCGCACATGAGTTTGGGAACCGGAACGAGCCACATATTAAATGTCTTTTGAGAAGTACAAAATGGAATTTGCATGTGGCGAGGTAACAATGCAGGTTGTTGATATTTTTAAGGGTGCTGAAAGTAGTAAAAGACCGCTGTTTGTTATAATTTAACTAACTAGAAGCGAGTTCATTTCACTTGAAATTTGAGTTGTATTTTTTAAAAAGTGTTTTCCTATTAAAATATACGCTTAACTTACAGTTGTTTAGTATTTTTCTTAGATAAATTAGTTCAGATTTTGAATTTTCTGTAGTGGAAGAAAAAATAATAAACTTGATTTTTAATTTTGGTCAAAATATATTTAGAATATGGCTCAAAACAAATAATAATACATGCTAAGGCTTATAAAAATCCACTTAGTTAATATCTAAAAGATAATCCGAAAGATACTTAAAACACAATTTAAAATATTGAAAATAATATGGAAATGGATTAAGTAATCTATATACTTTTTTACTACATTTCCTTCTTAAATATCTAACTTATATCTATAACATTTTCCAACTAGTCAACAATTATTTCTCTCTCTGTATTCTCTGCTCGAATTCAACTTTAGTTTTGTTTGGTATTCATGGCTGGCCTTTGCAGTCGCTCCAAATCACGTTTCTGCATGCAAATTTGATTATAGAATTTTTAGCAGTGGGTTTTGCGGATTCAGATTCAGATTCAGATTCGGTGGGGCAACTTGTTTGCCATCATAGCCAACTTGCCATCCTTACCAATTCAGCATTTACCATCTCTCTACCTTTTTTTTTTGTCGTCAATCGTCTGCCGCGCGCTTGCCACATCACTTTCTACCAAACAGGATTGTTTCAGGATGCCGCCGTCGACGTCGTAGCCGCACGTTGCCGTTGCGACATCCCCATCTTAAGACTAAAAATGAGAAAATGAGAAAAATCCAATACCCGAGATACTGAGACACTGAGACACTCAGATGCTCAGTTTTCTCAGCTTCCCAGTTGGCGGAGAAAGTTGTTTTCGGCGGTGCGGCACAGATTTGGCCAAATGGGATGCAGCCTCGCCATCTTCGCTGGGCATCTTCATCATGGGTATGGGTATCTTGGTCATGATCGCCATTGCCATTGCCATTGGTATTACCATTGCCATTGCCATGGCCATGGCCATCATCGTCCACCTGTCCGCAATTGCTCTAGTGCCACTTCTCCCACCTCCCTCCCCCCTCCCTTCTTTTCGTCCGCCCATTCGGGCACTCGTCTAATTGCCAAGATAGCCCGGCGCAACTTGGTAACTTGGCAACTTTTGGTAACTGAATCAGTCCAGTTCCAGCAACAAGTACATGGCAAAGCCATCGCAGCGGATCAAGATGTTCCTCAATGGCCTGGCCTGAAGATCTGGTCACCCGGAACATGGCCATTGGATCCGAGTCCACACACACACACATACCGCCAACTGAAGGACGCAAAAAGAAAGTAATGGAAAATTAATTAACTTTATTAGCAGATCTCACTGTTTTGGTTAGATGATGATGAGGCACGGGATTTACGGGATGGGATGGCGACATGTTGCCAATCTTGATTAGAAAGTATCGAGGTGATATCTTGAAGATATTATATTTTACAGTGGTGATAGATAATCAGAAATAATCAAAAAATACATGAGTTTATAAAGTTTCTGACTTTCTTGGAAGGTTTTTTGAGATACTTCTTATTTTTTGTCCCATCTAGCCAAAAGTTTGATACTTTTCTGCAACATCTAGCATCTTAGCTACTTATTTTCATCAGTAAACTGTTTTCTATCAAAATGAAAAAATATAGCCAAATCACTATTTAGATTTTTGCTTAACATTTCATTTTGAAATTAATCGCGAAGTGGATAAGTGTAGAGATGTTTCTTCCCACCCAACTGGCAAACTAATTTATCTAGATTGTATCTAATCTGTTACCCGGCTATTATCGGGTACACATCGTCATCAACCCAACCCGGCAATTCCGACTCCATGTCGATCGCGATCTCAATCTGGGTCTTGGTCGATGTCTGGTGTCTTTGGGGATCTTGAAGATCGGTCTTTGGTCTTTGGTCTTTTGTTTGTGTTGTCGTCTGGTCTGGTCTGTCTTGGCTTGGCCTGGCCTGGCCTGGTCTGGTCTGGTCTGGTTCTAGCCTTGACATCGCCTTTTAAGCCAGGCGGATCTCCATGGCAATTGGGTCGTCGTCGTCGCGCGTTGCATGTGGCACAAGAAGAGTTGCTGGTTTTGCTGCTTGAGAGGGAGGAGGGGGAAAAAAAAATAACATAAACAGAAAACAGAAAAAGCGAAATTGTTGCAGTGGCTGCTGCGGCTTTTTCTCTTTTTCCTCTTTCTTTTCGCTACCAGTGGCTTTTTGCCTTGCCTTATGCAATTGAGTTGCATGCCGCACATCCGCCTTGCAACCTGCCACCACCAACCACTTGCCACTGCGCCCATTCCATTTGACATTCCCCGAACTGAAATCATACCGTTCTTCTTCCCATCTTCTTCTCTATTTTTTTCCACTCCTGAAATGGGGTCACAGGTCGTCTTGGTCTGCGCCGATGATGTGGAGGTGGTGAAGGCCATTGCCGGTGGACCAGACGATGATCTGACTATCGCTCTTGGTGATCATGAGAACGAGCTGGACCAGATGGCCCAGGAATCGGAACAGGAACAGCAAGCCCAACAGGCGCAACAGCAGCAGCAGCAGCAACAACAACAGCAGCAGCAGCAACAGCAGCAACTGCCACAGATCCAAATGCAGTTGCCACAGTCGGTGCCTAAGGTGCAGGTGCACTATCAACACAACATGCCACAGCCGCCGCCAAGTGTGTCCGTGGGTCTCACAATGCGCAGTAAGTACAGAGAAGCTTCCCACTTACTTACTTAATTAGTTAGTAGCTAGCCCTAATTTTAATATGAATTTTCTTTCTTTGCTTCTTCAACCCACATAGACAACCATCAGAACATTCCCTTAAGCTTTGGCCAGCCCTTTGGACCTCCACCGCCGCCTGGTGCTCAGTTCTACAAGGGACCACCGCCGCCGCAATTGCAGCAGCGTCCCCAGCCGCCACCGCAGTTGCAGTTGCAAGTCCAGCCTCAGCAGCAGCAACAGCAGCAGCAGGGTCAACAGCAACAGGTGCAGGTTCCCGATCTAAGTGTTGGTGGATCTAGTAACAATGAGATCTGGGCTGCTCCCGTTCAGGATATGCCCAAGATAGTGTCCTTGGATGTAAAGTGCGAGAAAAATGGCATGAAGGTGTTCGTCCAGTTCGATAAGCCCTTTAATGGCATCGTCTTTTCCAAGGGTCACTACAGCAATATGAACTGTGTCCATTTGCCATCGGGATTGGGTCGCAGCTCGGCCAGCTTCGATATTGGACTTCATGAATGTGGCACAGCTGGCAATACGGATAACTATGGTCAGGGTTATGGTCATGAGGCGGGCAGTACGGGTGCAGGAACCTATTTCGAGAACATCATTGTCATCCAGTACGATCCACAGGTGCAGGAGGTTTGGGATCAGGCAAGGAAATTGCGTTGCACGTGGCATGATCAGTACGAGAAGAGCGTCACGTTCCGGCCATTCCCGGTGGATATGTTGGATGTGGTGAGGGCTGATTTTGCTGGCGATAATGTTGGCTGCTGGATGCAAATCCAGGTTGGCAAGGGTCCGTGGGCATCAGAGGTCTCGGGACTGGTTAAGATTGGCCAAACGATGACCATGGTGTTGGCCATTAAGGATGATGACTCTAAGTTCGATATGCTGGTGAGGAACTGTGTGGCACATGACGGCAAGCGGGCACCCATTCAACTGGTTGACCAGAGAGGATGTGTAACTCGTCCCAAGTTGATGTCACGCTTCACGAAGATCAAGAACTTTGGAGCATCCGCCTCTGTACTGTCCTATGCCCATTTCCAGGCCTTTAAGTTCCCCGATTCCATGGAGGTACATTTCCAGTGCACCATCCAGATCTGTCGCTACCACTGCCCCGAGCAATGTTCAGCGGAGACGAATCTGCAGGATGTTCATCATTTGCAGGTGGGTCCGGAATCACAATATGGTCCACCACCGCAACTTCATGTGGATGCCTATCATGTGGCCAGTGCGATTGGCAAGAGACGAGATGAGCGACGAGTACAAAGACGTGCTCGTGCTGTGGCCGAACCGCAGGTGGGTCTGAACAGGATCATCAAGGTCGTCTCCTCGGGTGATCTGACCTTTGCCATCGATGACCAGGCGGGCGGTAATGGTAGCTCTCTAAATGGCTCAAACGCTGGCGTGGATCGTAGTCCACAGACCATGGTATTTCCATTACGCGAAGAGGGTCTCATTTGCATGACCACGCCGGGCTTTGCCATTACGCTTATCGTGCTCTTGGGCATCCTGGTCACATCCTGCCTAACCTCCGCCATACTCTACGTCCGACTGCGTCCGTTCTCATCGTTCGCCGCCAGCGCCAAGGAGCGTGCTGTCGCCTTCACGAATCCTCAGCTGGCACCGCTGCCCGTCATTCAGCTCCCATCGCCAGCGGATCTGCAGGGAACGCTCTCCAAGAAGCGGGCGATGTCGTGAGCATGCCCCCGACTGTGCGACTGGAACTAGTTCCGGGTATATGGTGGCCGATATCCGATGGTCTGGTGGTCACTGGCACTACTGATGGGTTCTATCAGATCAGGTCTTTTAGGGTTTTGTTTAGGTTAAAGGAAATATTACCAAAAGTTTGTCCAGAAATTGTTAGTAATTGTTCAAATTTAAAAATTTATAAATGAAAAAAAACATCCATGCTTTTTACAGCTTTCTAGGCAATCGCTTACTTTATCCCTTATCATAACCAAGAAAAGACATTGATTTTGAAAAGTAACCACCATTAGTGCCTTCACTAGCTGTCGCATATTGTCAGAGCTTCCGTTTCCGGTTCTGGGTACAGTTGTGTCTGCGTCTGCGGCTCTTAAATTTGTAGCGTACACTTCTTTAGTATAATTTTTGATACAAATTTATTTAACATTAACTCAAGCCGTTTACTGGGTTCTCCTACTACACCTCCTCCTTATCCCTTGTTTCCTTTTTCATTTCCAAAAAAAAAAAAAAAAAAAAAACTCTACCTCTAAAACCAATCTTGACGACACCACTACCTGTCCTTTTTCTGCACATTTTCCACTTCCTTTTCCCCCACCCCCCCCTCTTGGTGGCAGTCGATAATCGATTATTTTTGTTTTAGTTTAAGCCTAGGTACTATTTCATGTAAAACGGTGCTAAGCCATGATCAGCCCATCATATCCATTTGACCATCACTTGTAGCTTTCTTCAGCATTTGAGCCGATAAAATCCATTACTTAGAGTATTTCTCGTAAGACTCTCTTAAGACTTTGTAGACACGCATACACATATTTTTCACACACACACACAAATACACTCATATAAACACACATATGCATAAAAAATATACACTTGAATTAGTCACTAAATATTTTAAGCGCTTTAAGCCGTAGACTAAGCCGAATACTTCTGCGTCCCACTGTCAGCCCTTTTTACCTTTAATCTCCAACCTCCCCTCCCTTGGATCTACTTAATATCAGTTAGTACGCCTTGTAGTCCACTTATTTATTTGCATAATGATTTATAAATATCGCATACATACCCAACATATATACCGCCTTATATATATCTTCGATTTTTTTTGTCTACTTTTGTAAGTCGAGCAAAGCGAGTGAGAAGAGAAAGTGTTCAATAAATTGTTTAGAATCCCTAAAAAATATCGTTTGTGTGTTTGTTTTGTTATGTCTGCGTGTTGGAAATCTAGAATTCTTTAGTGCTGTCTTCTTTGGTATATCGGTCGGTGTGTTTGCGTATTGTATTGCCTATCTTTAGGCGCTGCCGTACTTCAAATAGCTAAAATAAAGAATTTATCTCGGCAGTTTTTATTTTTAATAGCAAGTGAACATAATGTATAGTAAGCGTGTTTTGGGTTTTAAAAGTTCTTGTGATCAAGCGTTCAGATCGGTCGACCAATAAAAATTTAGCTCATTGGAAGTTTACAGTTAGTAAAGCTGGACAACAACGTTGTTTACCGCATTGTATCACAAGTTTACAACGATAATCGTGCAGTCTCGCACGGCTAAAACTGTTTTATGCAGCTAAGAACCATAACTTTAAGACAGCATACCCACTTTTTACAGTGGTGTACTGCTCTTTTGCTTGCAAAAAAATGCAATATTTGTTGCGGTTATTCAGCTCTAGCCCGGCCAAAACAAGACGCACAGCCAAAAGAAAGACTGTTTCGTGCTGCTAACGACCAACACTAACCAC